CACTGAATCTGCTTTGAGATAGATATCCAGCCAAAGACTTTGCAAAGACTCTTCATGAGTACTGTATGATGGGGCTGCTGGTCGTTTCTGTTCATTACCACTCGCATTTTCAACGCTTTCTTGTCGAGCTTCCATTTTAGCAAGCAACTCCTCCATGCTCTCCTCTTCCGGTGTACTGATACGCTTCCTTAAAAACAGATCCACCACTGAAAAAGCCGTGATGAAGTGGATGGTAACTTACCGAACAAGAGTAAGTGCAGTCTTTAGGAGACTAAACCCATAATCCTTAATGTGACAAGTAGTGACAAGACGACCGTTGGTTGAAAGAAGCAACTAAAGCATGATTTTACCAGAAAGCAGGTCCTAAGCTCAAATACTATTGATATGGCTAACCTTTCCATCAGCACCACAGCTAGCAATGACAGCATTTTCAGAACAAGCGTTGACGTCCCAAGTCATAAACTCATGCCGGAAATGGTGAACACATAGCTTTAAGCACGTACACTACCATAAAAGTGAGTTTCTAACCTGTTTGCAAGTGGAACAACGAAGAAACCTTCAGATTTCGTTTCAGCACAAACAAAACTGACACCATTGAGAGGAACGTCAGTTCCATCAGTACCAACAGGAAAATATTCTGATTGGAATGTGAAGAACCCAGAGAAGAGTCGTGGCTGACTGGTAGCACGCGCACCTGGACATGATAGCTCAACCACAATTAAAGCAGGATAAGAAGAAGACATGTCTACAAAAACTCCTCCTAATCAATGGAACAACTTCTCACCAGCGGTTCGAACGGTGTTCTCCTCCAAAGTGCACTGGTACGTTCGCACATCGTAAACTCGAATCATCCGCTCACGGAAAGATAACGCTACTGTAAAAGAAAATCAATCGGCATAAAAAATTGCAAAAGTATACTATGCGCTCAAAGCTACAGTCTTGCAGATTTATGAAAGCTTTTTTAGAGCTGAAAAAAGAAACTATGCAAGCACGTGCTAAGAGAAAAAATATATCTAAAATTGGTGCAAAGCCAATGGAAAAGGAATCAGCAGAGGAAACAAACTTCTAATAAAATAAAGTTTTCTAATGACAACCAAATTACTACCTTCAAAACCTCCAATGAATGTGGCAGATGCTGCCGGGGAGCACCAACTTGAATCCAGCAGAACATATGGAGTATCGAGTGAACGCTGCATATCCCAAATAACTGCTCCTCCTAAGATCAAAGACGCAGATATTTAGCAATAGCAAGAATACAAAACTTAAAAAAACTAACCAGCAGCATTGACTGCAACAATGTACTGAGCTTCATCTCTTGTACACCAAGCTATCGACGTCAATGGAGGCGGGAAGCGAGGCTCAGAATTCTGAGAAATAAAGTATTATGAGGAAAATGATGAGAAGGTGATATACCTCCTCGATGACCCCGCCACTTAGCCAAGGTTTTGGCTGGAACAAAATGAGTGCCGGTTCTGGTTCAACCACAGGTAATTCTTTAGCATCTGAACAGGGAGAGGAGACACTAGTCGAATCTAGTCTAAAAGGAATTTAGAGTGAGACGTCAAGTGCTACAAATTTAGATTTGGCCCGACATCTACCTATATATCAACAAAGCTCCATGCGCAGTTGACAACGCCAGGAAGCCTATCAAGGTATCTTCTTTGCAGCATTTTGGGCGATCCAGCCAATGTGCGTCGAAGACGAGACCAAAATTGGACTTTAGAACAAACCATGGACGCAATCCGGACCTACAAACGCATTTCTAAAATCTCTGTACAAAAGAGAAGACCACATTTGATGCAAATAAATTCAAGAAAAAAGAAACATGCATAACAATCAAAGAAACAGGCGAACTGTTTGGATCTAATTCTTCAAATGGACATGGAAGCTAAAAATCGCAAGAAAAAAAGATAGAAAAAACAGAAGCTCTCTTGAGAACTCACCTTGTTCCTTCGCTGCTATGCAGCCAAAACTGTACCAAACCCTGCGCTTTCCTCATGTCTTTTCCAGCCAGCGTTGTTTCACAAGGATAGGTGACTACAACGACCACTTCTTCATCTGAACTATCACAAATTTCAATAGGATCGAACAAAAAAAGAAAATAATAATTTTTGGCAAGAGCTCCATTTCCACTTGTTTCATTCTGTTTCACAGCAAATAAAGTTCTTCCTGGTCTTGATGTCCTCATAAAGAAAACTGTATCATAAACTTGGTTCAGTAACTCTTCCTACCATTTGGCATGGGGTTTGGAGCTATGCTTATAGCATTTATTGGTCCACCACAGTAGGCCACTGTCACAAAATCGTCAATCACGCGTTTGAGCTCTACAGAAGAAAGTGCTGGCAGCCGCTGACAAGATTGGGGAACTTCCCGATATGCACTCTAAACAAACGAAAATCAGGAAGCAGCTTAGACTAATGTGTTACAAACGTTTATGCGATGACTTGCCTTGTCCTCTGAGTCTTGTATTCGGAAACCCACCGATTCCTTGTCTATGTATGGTAGATGGGCTCTATTAACGAACAAATTGCTACAATTAATCATAATTTCAGAAAAACTAACGACTTATATGCTGTTCTCCATATCGAAGATTTAATATCTCGAAGTCGAGCGCAATATGGCAAAGCTGCCGCCTCATGTCGCCATTGCTCATGCGCCTTCTGGACACCTTCTACATATTTGGGATAGTCTGATATGCCTGCGGCACAGTCTACAGACAATATTATTACATCAAATAAACAAAACTGATAAGAAAGCGGAGTTTACCCTTCACGTCAGCTTTTCTAAATCTGAATCGCATCTTTCCATCACCAGTCAAAGACATTCGATTGGAACAGGACGGGATTACACCAGCAGAGATGCTCGCTTTGCTCCCATATTTGGATCGACGTTTCCTGGGCGTCTGAAATTATTTCCGCAATAGTTCTTAGAGAATCCACGACGAAGTAGACTGGCGCAAAGACTCCTTACCAGTATCGAATTTTCCGGTCCAACTATGGCTTTCAGAGCATCTTTGGCACTGAATTCGCTGAGAGGCTAAACTTCTATGCAGTAAATAAACTATGCACGGAATCAAAACCAAAACTGAGTGTAAAAGAAAAAGAAGCAAGCAGTTGAACAAAAATCAAGGCATAATCAAACTAGACATATAATACTGATATAGTGAACATCAGGTCAGGAATTGGATGAGAAATTTATTGATGAATGCAGTCATTTCCTGGTCACACAGCTGTGAAATCTAATCCCAGCCAATAAAAATTGAAACAACAAGCAAAAAAAGCTGGTACACTCCAAATTTTTTGAAGAAGCAAAAAAATGTAGAAACCATAACGTGACAGCATACCTACCTTAGTTTCTCCATTGATTGTTATCAATTCACTAGCACCTTCCTTTTGAACGGACTTTCCACTCCTTAGATTAACATCGCCCAATACTCCCATCACTTGTTCAATGCCACTAAAATATAGCTTTTGCAAGAAAAAAA